CATGACTGACAGCTGCATTTGAGACTCCTCAGCTCTGATTGGTTGTTTTTGCTCAGATGCGATGGGTTCTTGCAAATGCCCTTGGAAGCATCGTGAGGAGGAGGAGAAACCAAATTTTTTTTGTACCGACTATCTGTCTTTGGTATTTCTGTGTGGATATACTGATAAACTGAACCAAAATATAAACGCAACACTTTTGTTTTTGCTCCCATTTTTCATGAGCTGAACTCAAAGACCTAAAACATTTTCTATATACACAAAAGACCATTTCTCACAAATATTGTTCACAAATCTGTCTAAATCTGTGTTAGTGAGCACTTCTCCTTTGCCAAGATAATCCATCCCACCTCACAGGTGTGGCATATCAAGATGCTGATTAGACAGCATGAATATTGCACAGGTGTGCCTTAGGCTGGGCTGGCCACAATAAAAGGCCACTCTGAAATGTGCAGTTTTGCTTTATTGGGGGGGTCTGGGGGGGTCAGAAAACCAGTCAGTATCTGGTGTGACCACCATTTGCCTCACGCAGTGCAACACATCTCCTTCGCATTGAGTTGATCAGGTTGTTGATTATGGCCTGTGGAATGTTGGTCCACTCCTCTTCAATGGCTGTGCGAAGTTGCTGGATATTGGCAGGAACTGGAACACGCTGTCGTATACGCCGATCCAGAGCATCCCAAACATGCTCAATGGGTGACATGTCCGGTGAGTATGCTGGCCATGCAAGAACTGGGATGTTTTCAGTTTCCAGGAATTGTGTACAGATCCTTGCAACATGGGGCCGTGCATTATCATGCTGCAACATGAGGTGATGGTCGTGGATGAATGGCACAACAATGGGCCTTAGGATCTCGTCACGGTATCTCTGTGCATTCAAAATGCCATCAATAAAATGCACCTGTGTTCGATGTCCATAACATACACCTGCCCATACCATAACCCCACCGCCACCATGGGCCACTTGATCCACAACGTTGATGTCAGCAAACCGCTCACCCACACAACGCCACACACGCTGTCTGCCATCTGCCCTGAACAGTGAAAACCGGGATTCATCCATGAAGAGAACACCTCTCCAACGTGCCAGACACCATCAAATGTGAGCATTTGCCCACTCAAGTCGGTTACGACGACGAACTGCAGTCAGGTTGAGACCCCGATGAGGACGACGAGCATGCAGATGAGCTTCCCTGAGACGGTTTCTGACAGTTTGTGCAGAAATTCTTTGGTTATGCAAACCGAGTGTTGCAGCAGCTGTCCGGGTGGCTGGTCTCAGATGATCTTGGAGGTGAACATGCTGGATGTGGAGGTCCTGGGCTGGTGTGGTTACACGTGGTCTGCGGTTGTGAGGCCGGTTGGATGTACTGCCAAATTGTCTGAAACGCCTTTGGAGACGGCTTATGGTAGAGAAATGAACATTCAATTCACAGGCAACAGCTCTGGTGGACATTCCTGCAGTCAGCATGCCAATTGCACGCTCCCTCAAAACTTGCGACATCTGTGGCACTGTGCTGTGTGATAAAACTGAACATTTTAGAGTGGCCTTTTATTGTGGTCAGCCTCAGGCACACCTGTGCAATAATCATGCTGTCTAATCAGCATCTTGATATGCCACACCTGTGAGGTGGGATGGATTATCTCGGCAAAGGAGAAGTGCTCACTAACACAGATTTAGACAGATTTGTGAACAATATTTGAGGGAAATGGTCTTTTGTGTATATAGAAAATGTTTTAGATCTTTGAGTTCAGCTCATGAAAAATGGGAGCAAAAACAAAAGTGTTGCGTTTATATTTTTGTTCAGTGTAGTTCCAGTGAATATGACAAAAAGTTATTTTTATACAAGATACCAACTGTAGCTTTAACAAACCACTATTGTGTTTTTATTTTCAGAGAGGAGCTGCCCAACATCTACAAGTGTCCATATCAGGGATGTACAGCCGTCTATAGAGCTCCTGATGGTTTAAAGGTCAGAATTCACAAACTCTTAACATAATTTCACTTTATCCAAGTGACACATGCTCAGTAATTGGATTAATACTGATGTATATTATTCTTAGGATGCTTACTTAGTATCGGGTGTCCGGCCAATACATAGCTAATTTTACTTTATTTTTTACAGTAAAAGAATAATATCCTATAATATGTAAAGTACAAATAATATTCTATGATATTGTCAATATATAAATATATTACTCTTAATCTTGACTGTCTATATGACTGGTTTTCTTATTGGGGGGGGGGTTTTTAGAAACACATCAAAGAGCACCATGAGGAGATGAGAGAGCGCCCCTGCCCTCATCCTGGCTGCAACAAGGTTTTCATGATCGATCGCTACCTCCAGCGACATGTCAAGCTCATCCACACTGGTGAGATCAAAAGCAAGACTTTGTTTTACATGTGCTGTTCTTCCCACCTGGGGCCTCTGTCATAAAACAAGTTCAGCCTAATCTGGCTCTCTTTGGGCTACTTGGCTTCACTGGGCCTAACATTTGCGATCCTAGTTCCTACATGAAACTGCTCACAACAAGGTCTGTGGATTATCATTTAAAATACATTTGAAAAACTCAACATCAGTGTCTGAACTTCAAATAGATGTGCCATGTTATACAGACTGTAAAATCAAAGAGGCATTTGTTTTAGGTGTCAATGTGTATTTTTGCTTTAACTTTGTCATCTAAATGTTTTTTGTTTGTTTCAGAGGAGAGGAACTACATTTGTGACCAGTGTGGCCAAACCTTTAAACAGAGGAAACACCTTTCAGTTCACCAGATGAGACATTCAGGGGCCAAACCACTGCAGTAAGAACTGACGATGTGATTTTTTGCTTTAAAACTTATGCAGCTCATGAATAATTATTTCAACTTGTAGATATGAAATGAAGCATCATTCTGACACTGCACTGCATTTTTTGGTTTTGAATTTAGATTTCAAATATTAAAGCATGGACTTGAGACAAAGGCCATAAATGTTAATTTTTTTTTCCTATAGATGTGAGGTGTGTGGCTTCCAGTGTCGCCAGCGAGCGTCACTGAAATACCACATGACCAAACACAAGGCCGAGGCTGACCTGGAGTTTGCATGCCTGATCTGCGGAAAGCGCTTTGAGAAGGCCCACAACCTGAACGTCCACATGTCCATGGTCCACCCACTGACTCAGACTGAGGTTCAACGAGGCAACAGCCAGCAGCAGCACCAGCCGCCGCTGTACTCTGACCTGCACACCATCACTCTGACCGGGGAGGTGGTTCAGCCAGACCAGGACAGATGACGGCAGGGAGTCCAGGTCCAGGTCTGCTGCACGGGTACATAAACTGTGGGAGTTTCCCAGTTCTGACAGCCTCTACTGCAGTTTCCATTTTTTCCACATTCAGGTCATGGACTGTGATGGGACCTGCCGTATGGCAAAACAGATGTTTATCTCAGTTCTCTACCAATATTGCAATTTTAGCTCAGCTTTTGTGTCATAACAACACAATTTAGTGGATCAATTTTCTTATATTTACTGTCTTATGGACCGCTCTACAGCTTTCAGGAGTCACTTTTCATTCCAAACTCAAATCTTCCAACAACTTTAGATTTTAGCTTGTTTTTGGGGAAGCAGCCAGCTTTCCTTCACATTTAACATTGACAAACACTGCAGTGCACCCTGACGCCATGTAGTGAAGGCATCAAGAATCTTAGGATCCAAGTTTCTGGGTCAAAAGGTGGGGTGTTTTGTTCTCACACACAGTATGAACTGAATAGGGACCTAATAAAAAGAACCACCAGGCTTACGCGTTTACAGTGAAGTCAAAATTAGTCACGTTTTAATAAGGAAATCAGCCGATAATGATTATAATAACTATTCTGATTTCATGGTGAGCATGGTGCGAGTGGAAACAGTAGGACAAAGTAGAGATATTTACCCCGGCCTGTCTTCTCATTTAGCTCACTGTAGCTGCTCCTGACTGTTTTTTCACTCCCTGCAATTTTTTAAATTCATCTGCTGTCCAAAAATGACCACTGTCGGTTGTTGTCAGTGCTAACCTTAGTAAAACATGCACTGCATTTCTTGTAACTGCTTTACAATAAAAGCCACCCTGTGTTTTGCCCAAGCAGCAACCTGCAGGGCTGAAAAATGAAGGCAACACTGAAGTGCCAAAAACTGCAGTTCCTTTAACGGCTACTTGAGGCTGGCTCCAAAAGTGAGTCAGTCTCCACAGACCCTAATGATAAAATGCCAGACTTTACAGCAGAAATAAACATGTTTACAGCCTGTTACATAAAACGGTTTTTGTCTCTAAAGCTAATTTCAACCTTTCATGACAGCTGTACGAGAGATCAATTTTTATATAACTCACCCATTCACTTCTTATTAAGGCTTGAAGTTATGCATATTTAGAGGCAGGGCCACTAGCATGACAAGGCATCGCTACAGTCTGAGTCAGATTCACCCCTTGCTCCTTTACAGCTGCACCCTATTGTCAAGATGGTGACCGCAGAAATGCAGAAGTCAAGGCGACAAACGACAGTCCACAAACCAACAGGTGACATCAAGGTAGCTGCATACCTTATTTTATGCAGTCTATGGTTTCACCAGTTGAATGCTTTTCATGTGAAGCAGCAGCAGTAGGTAATGTTAGGTTGTCCTGTCAAACCCACATTTGTAGGTAGGCACTTGAATCCAGGGTGGGAATGGTGGACTCTGACAAAAAACATAACAATTTAGAATCTTAATTTTTATAAATTGAAAGGCGACAACAACTTTTGGTGCCTCTGTTTCAGATCTGATGTAAAGATGATTTTACACTGCCTGGGGACGATATGGATCTATACGCAGTTTTATTTGATAGCTGAAGTGCACAGTAGCAGCCACATATAAATGACTGTGTAACCTATAGCAATGCAGTTCTAAGTCCTATAATGCAATATTCGTGTTACCTAAATATATGTGAAGCACTTGTGTGTGCTGTGTAATCACACAGTGCAAATAGCTTCAAGAACATTCACTTCACTTTTATTAGGTCACGGTTTTTTATTAAGTTATTACAATGCTAAGCACTCTTTTTAAGAGTTTATATCTGTATTGTAAACAGTGGAAAGGGCTTCAGATGTACATGTGTATAATAAAGTCCTGTGTCTATTATGTGTAAAAAGACAAATAAAATGTAGAAGTTTTTTTTTTTTTTACAAAACTGAGTATTTAGACTCGTAAAATCTGAACTATTTAATAAATATAACAAGAGGAACATGTTTTCTCTTAGATGTAAAGTTGGATTACAGTAAAACAAATAAAGTACCTGGTGTAAAGTCAGATACCGTAACTGTCTAAAAGACACTTCCGAACCTCAAAAGGAGTGTAAAAGATTTTGTAGTAAAAGTGGTGTCACAGTTCACTTTAGACAGTTTTTATGACTGAACATGAGTCGGCAGCTTTTCAGAGGAAGTCCATCTCCGGGCTGAGGCTGTGAGGGTCGAGGTGCACAGAGAGAGCTGCTGCCACCTCTGGGTCCAAGTCTGCACTCTGGGACTCCAGCTGGACCAGGAAATAAGTGATGAAGACAAGACAGGAGAGTGTGAGAAAGATGTGTGTCAATGGAGGATCTTACCAAGAGGTGTAGTATAGATGTGTACCGTATATACAACATGCATGTGTGTGTCCATCTGTCATGCATTCATAACACAAGTAGACAGCAGACACATCGCTGTTCACACCTGTTTCTATCATGTGTGTCCAGCTGACCACTTGGGTTTAGATTTCATTACCGCCTGCGTCATCTACGCTACAAGGTCAAAGGGCCCCGCATCCAGTTATTGCATCCACACTCTCACTAGCTGTTCACTAGAATGTGCTAGTCATGTTAGTGGTTGTGTTGGTACAGCTGGAAGTATTGCTGTCAGCAGAATTCCACACCTCTCCTCCCATAGGGAAAAACAATTGACAGCCACACAGCACTTCGTCAAATTCATCATAAATGGGCAAGTTATAAAGCGTTAGTGCGCTGTCACTAAAACAACCGCCCATCCTGCATTAATGATGTAATCCTTGTCAGGGACACATCAGGGTGCATTAGCATTTACATTAAGTATGTGAACAGGCTCTCTGTTGGTTACCTGTCTGAGATGGCCAGAGGACAGGGTAGTAGGAGATGTCTGTGAGATCACTCTGAGGAGAAACTGTTTGGCGTGGCTCACAATCTGGAAAGGCTCCATCTGACAAAATAATTCATAGGTTTGACTTCAGAGCAGCATCACAGGTTTGAATGACAATCATCACCCTGATATGAACCATCATTCTTACATTTGGTTAAAAATTACACTATATTGAAATGGTCTTAAAAAGCATAAATGTAAGTGTTTGATACCTGTAGACACCCTGTCTGAGGCTCAGTCACCTGATTGTCAGAGGGATCAGTGGCTGGTTTAAGTGTGTGTCCGTCCAGGAAAAGCTGCAGCAGATTGATGTAGCAGAGGACAGCAGTATGGAGGAACCCCGGACAGCGCACAGCTCTCTGCAGCAGCTCAGCACTCTGCTGGAGCAGCAGGCTAAACACACACACACACACACACATTACAAAATGGAACTGTACAAATACAGTACAAATGGAAGTGCAGAATTCCACAGAGAAGATCTATTTTGCACATTTTATTTAAGAACCTGATGCACATAAACTGATGGTTTTGGTTTGTTGCAAACCTGAAGTAGCCATCAAGTTTACTTTCCTACCGTCCAGTTAGTCATTAAAAATTTGAATCTATTGACTGATAAGTTGTGTTGTGAGGGTAATTACCAGAGATGGGGACTCGAGTCATTGTGACTTGGACTCGAGTCGACTCGAGTCGCTGTTTTGATGACTTGTGACTTGACTTGACAAAAAATAAAAGACTTGAGACTTGACTCGGACTTGGAAGTTAAAGACTTGGGACTTGACTTGAGACACGATGACTTGAATGAATTGAGTGTTATTTACATCATGCTTTTGGTTAGAATATAAAATTAATAAATTAATTGAAAAAATAATGTCGATTACCCGGTAGGAGCGCAGGCTGAGAATGGCGTTGTCATGATTGGATCACTATTCTGTCAATCAGTCATGCCCTCTCTACGTACCTTACGTGTTTATTGGAGAAACAGGCCCTCTTATATCAGATAGGCATCAACATGTCAGCGGGAGGAGTACCGAGAGTCATCGTCTTCGGCTTTCGGAATTACCATTATTACGGCAAAAGACGAACAGCACAGTGCAAGACATGCGGCATAAACATCTCGGACAGCCAGGCGACAACTTCAAACTTTGTTCGTCATTTGAAGAGCCATTCTGTCCAGTAAGTGCTTGTCGATTAGCTAATATTATCTGGTTAGTCGGTAGTTAGCTAACGTTAGCTTGATACAATACGGGGTGGGGTGGGGGGGTGGGTCAGTTTGGTGGAACTTGTTTTTAATTTATTTGCTAACATTAACCCCAGAAAACGTGAGTGAACATTCCGACCGGTTCATCACAAGACCGGCTGTACATTATATGAACGAGCAACACAGGGTTAAATGAGCTAAATGGGTGATATTGGCCACTGCCTTGGTTAGTGTGTGTGTGTGTGTATGTGTGTGTGTGTGTGTGTGTGCGCGCGCACGCTTGGGGGTCGTCCCTGCAAAGTAAACATTGCAGCGATGAAGTCAATGTTTACTGACAGTTACTTATATCTTGTATTTTCACTTTATTAAGATCAGATTCTACAAGTAAAATTACAATAATAAGGTGACTTGACTTGGACTTGACTTGACCTATTACAGGACTTGACTTGACTTGACTTGACATAACCTGTGACTTGACTTGATTTGACTTGCCCAAGAAAAAATGACTTGGGACTTACTTGAGACTTGAAGGTTAAGACTTGAGACTTATTTGAGACTTGCACATGTGTGACTTGGTCCCATCTCTGGTAATTACCAATACCAATGACTGTATATAAAGATGGTCAACATGTCTCCACTTCCTCCCACTGTACAGAAATTAATCCAAAATATCCTATCCATGTGGTCGCTGTCCAAAAAATCGCAAACAGCACCACTGATTATAAGCACACCAAATAGCACACACAGCTGTCAATCATGACATCAGACCCATGTTTTTGTAGCATCAAATAACTAAAAAAACAAACTTATTGGAAAAATGAACACTTGAACAAAAAGTGCAATATTAGCGTCATCATTAGTTCAGCCTATGTCCCACCAACCAACATGGAGGGGGCAGGGTTTAAGACCCATACTGTAGCCAGCCACCAGGGGACGATGGAGATGTTTTGGCTTCATTTTGTGGTAGCTGTCATGTCGTCCATTTCTATTATACGGTCTGATACACCAGGCAGTATTAAAATTGTTTCCAAGAAATGCAAATTTTAAACTTTAAAATCTGATGTTCTTTCAATGCTACAACTAACCTGTAGAAGGCCCATGGCATCAATCGGGTAAACTCATCTGATGTCACCATTGCCATCGACTGGTAAACACCTTGGTCTAGCGTTAGGGAAAAAAAGATACAGCCCACTAATTTAACACAGCATAAATACATGTGAGACACAATAATTTAATGTCAGTCTTAATGCCAGCTTTAATCTGCCAAATAATGACCACCAGGTCAATAAAACTGATGTAAACGAGCATGTAAAGTGAACTGAGATGTGGTTGTTGAACACAATACTCTGTACCGTTTGATTTAAAGACGAGCAGCCAGTCTGCCGAGTCCACCAACACAAGCAGAAGGTCTGTGCATAAACTTCTGACTTTCTGATGGCTCCTCTCCTACAGAAATAACCACAGACAGAACATTACACAGGGACTCCCTCATACAGTAGGAGCAACAGACTTCACTGCTATATGGGAGATGTTTAGACAAATAAGTAGTGGAAAAACACTACACATTTTACTATTGTATGAAGAACTCAACTGCTTTTGCATTTCATGTAAAATATGTCTGTGTTTTGCCAAAAGTATGTCTTGGGGTTTATTTGTGACATATTATTTACTTTGCAAACATGGGTTGAAGTTTGGCCTGAGGGAGTGTGTTTAGCTTAAATCAATGTGTAAAACCTTTGCATTATCCTAAAGGAACAGTTCAATATTTTGAGAAATATACTTATTTCTTAGTGAGCGTTCGATGAAAAGATCAATATCATTCATGTCTGTAAAGTTAACAAACGAACACATTATAGCTACACTGTCTCCTAACTTTAGCTTTATATTGAACAGACAGATTTGACAGTGGGTTGTCATCTAACTCTCAGCAAATAAGCCTGTTTTCCCAAATATCAAATTATTGAATGTCCAGTATGAAGGATTTAGGGGAATTTATTGGCAGAAATTGAATATAACAAATATGTTTTCTTAAGTGTATAATCAGCTGAAAATAAGAATCACTGTGTTTTTGTTAACTCAGAATGAGGGATTATATCTACAAAGGTAGTGGGACCTCATCCATAGAGACTGCCATGGTTACTGCAATGTTTCTACAGTAGCCCAAAATGGAGACACCAAACACTGGCTCTAGATATGGCCATTCGCATTTTTGCATCAGCCACCATAATTAGCAGCATCAGAAAATCACTGATGTAAATTACCAGTTGCATTTGTTTTGGGGAGGAGGAGACCTCTGCGGGTAATTTGGCTCCCGGTACAAAAACACGGAAGGAATTCTAACCAGGAGGAGTTTCAGCTGGTTGCAATCTGCAATTCTCACCACTAGATGCCACTGAACCCCCCTAAATCTTACACACTGTTCCTTTAATAATATAACCATTTGCCTGAGCACTCTTATTTAGAGAGATATACAAAGAGAGCAGCAGTAAAGTACGCTTCAATTCATATATCACTCATCCATTACTTTCATAAGGAGCATTTCCATGACCAAAAACTTCTGTTCCTTCCTGGACTATGTGTATGGTGTTACAGGGTTCATGCCTAATAATGAGCTTCTAGATGAACAAAAGACATGTTTATTTTCTCTCAGGCCATGAGTGTGTGTGGATGTTGCTATTAGGGTTTATCAACCGGAGCTTGGCCTCACACAGACCTTTCTCTCGAACTGCATATAAATCCCCATAACACTTTATCAGAGTACCAACACATTTTCATGGACAGTATTTCAGAACTTTTCCATGACTTTTGTGGACCCATAATATGTATATATAATAATATATACATATGTATAACACAAACATTGCTACATCTAAAAAATGCAGTGCAATTTAAAAGTAGTAGTGGGTCATAGAATTCACATGGCAATTTTCCTGACTTTTCCAGGCCTGGAAAATGAATTTGTGAAATTCTATTACCGTTCTAGGTTTTCCAACACCATGCTTTACACTAAATATTCTGAGAACATGTAGGTATGTTCTACAGATCATTTGTTTAACATCCACAGACAGAGTAAAACGGTTACATTGTAATCTCAGCTAATACGCTGTTAAAATGTCACAAATATAAACTACCTGTAGGTGCACGATCCAAATAAAGTGTTACTAAATCCTAACTGCTTTGCTGTGTCTAACCAACACAAAAACAAAATCTGCTCGTAGAAAATGTTTGTTGCAGAGCAGGGTCAATTAATTGCTATTCCTTACCTGAGGATACAGGAGTGATGACAGATAGTCGTTTACATACAGGAAAAGCAGGAAAACAAGCACCTGGACAAAGAAATGAGATAGCAGCAGGTGAATATAGGAAACATGGGAAAACACGACAAAAGCAACCTCTGGCTGTTTTGAGAGCAGGTGGATGTTAAAACAACAACTGAAATGTATATTTTTAGAGAGCTATCTATGATCAGAGATAATGGGACAAAGAACAACAAAACTATTATTTCTGGAATCCGGTTTACCCACTGTTACTGGCTGCCATTAACCTTTATGACATGAGCACTGTTCATCTTGGTGGTGTGGTGTGATGTTAACCAACACCTGGGGCCAGATGCATAAAACTCTGTAGATTCATGACTAAAACTGTGTACGCACAAAGGCGTGTGGAGAGGCATTCTTTTCATCAGATTTATAAAGCCATGTGTACGCCTGATTTAGATCTACAAATCTCAATCCTTGTGGGGCTGGGGGCACATGCACAAGCCGCATTTTCACATCCACAGTTTCCATAAATGGATACAGAAACACTCTTAAATATCTGTTTGCATATCAATACTGGTGCCTCCCCACTATTTATTAGACCTGTCTATGAGAAATCCGGTAAAGAAAGTGCAGTTTCACCAAATGCGTTGCATTGGCTTGGTTGTCCAACAGTACCAGAGCAGCTGCCATGACACACGGCTGTGGGAATTTGTACAGTCTGTACCACTATTTAATTTTTTTTTCTGCAAACCATCACTGCAGTAAAATCTCTATCATTATGATTAAACATCAGAAGGATGATCAATGATTCATTCATACCGCTTATGTTGAAACTGACTTTACAGACTTCACAGGGTGAAATTAAACGATCATGAACAGAGATAAATGTTAATGTTTTCTGGGGGGGTTTTGTGCATACACCTTGTCTATGCATCTGGCTCCAGAAGATGAAGCCAGAGTAAGGAACATTGACTCTGTAGGAACAGATGCCAGCTGGGAATTGTAATAGCTGACTGTAGCTCATCTCCAATCAACCCAGCATGGGCCAAAAAGCTTCTCTCCAAGCCTCAGTTGGGAGAGAGAAAGGCAAGAGACCTCTCTCTCAATCCGGTGGCAGACAAGTTGAGTGAGGTAAGACAAAAGCTTAAAATACATTGTTGCCTTGTGCTCACAGAATGACTTGTGTGTCCCTCCTAGGTAGACAGAAACGTCTAGGCCACAGACACTGAATTACCCTCGACTGAGAAAAAATTCTGTTTTTTTGCATCGTTTCCCTTTTCCCTCCTTTTTTTTAAATTAAAGGAAAGTTTTGTTGTGTTCTTGTCCTCTTTTTTGCAGTTTGGACAATCACCTCACCTCAGTAACAAAGTTGACACAGTAGCAGCATTAAAACTGTAGCTCACTGTATATAAAGATGATGTTTTTGAATGAAAACAAATCTGCAAACACCCTGGTTGGTTTGGTGAAAATTACATTTATATCTGAAAGTTCTTACCTGCCGGTGTTTTGTGCCCCTCTCTGGTTGTACCACATTCAGAGCAGCACTGAAGCCCTGGTTGTCACACCCAGAGCCCCAGGCACGATGCAGGCTGGCGGCCAGCTGCAGAGCTGCAGCTTCAGGCACTGGCGATGATGACAGCCCCTTCTCTAAACTGAACGGCAAACAGAATTAAAATCACCCCAATATGAGCCAAGTGAACCAAGAGACACACAAAGCACCAGAAAGATAAAACTGACTCTGAAATGGAAGCTGAGGGTCCAGAGAGGACTGCTTTGTGTCAGCTCTTCGTATCCTTCACACTAACAGTAAAATGTTTCAACAGTGGCATGGAGTGAAGTGAATCAGAGAATCAGGGGTGGTGGTTTATGAGAGTGAGGCTTTACCTGCACGCCCAATTCTGACAGTCAGAGAGGAGCTGCAGCTGCTCTGGGAGAGGCTCTCCATCACATAGACGATGCCACAGTGACAACAGCACTGGAGACAGACGCTCCCACCAGTGCTACAGACACACACATAATCATCATGTAAATGATGCCTGAGCCCGCAAATCAAAAACATTCACGAGGTCTGCATTAGTATTGGTTTGGTTCATTTCCTCTCCATGTAATAGAAGCATGATGTCATGTTATTGTCAAAATTATGCAGTAAGGATGATGGTAATGGTCTGACTGTGCAATGCAAGCAGAAGTGCTGCTATTCTCCATCACAGTCATTCCTCAGCTGCAAGTACATTGCTAACATACATGAAGCTACATACCAAAATCGGGCAAACATGTAATTTTGGTTGCAGATGTCGAACATTTCTGCACAATTTCAGTTCATCTTCCTGCTGGAACACGTCAGTTGTCTTGTTTTTACCATTACGTAATACGTACGTATTATGTAAACATGTTTTAGTATATACAAGTATCAACCTGAAAATGAGCATTCATTAGCTGTATGGAGAACAAACAGTACCACTGTGGAGACCAGGAGCAAAGGACAGCGTAGACTGATTTGAGTCCAGGCTTTGTTGACTTCTTCACCTGAGCGTCCACAACGTACACTGGCACATAACACACCCTGGAGAGGACACACAGACAGCAACTTACTCGACTTGAATTTCTCACAGGAGGTTGTGGAAATACAGTGAAAAATGTAGCTTATAGTGATGCACGGGTCAGGGTATTTTAAGATCCGCACCAATCCAGCCTGTTATGAGAGCCAATCCGCCATGCCCAACCCGTTAACACACGCCTTAATCAATAACCCAAACCCAACCTGCAAATCCAGAATCCGGAGCTGCAAGTTTCTGGTAAAAAACATCACTAATAACAACCTAATTGCTGTTGGCTATGTTGTATGTCATTTCCAGTAAATATCACCATATAAAACAACTGTTACATAACGTTACAGAAGTGCATATTTAAAGGATTCAGTGTGGACAGAGAAACACTTGCTGTAAGGACACGATGTTAGGCGTACAATATTTTTTTTTCACCAGTAGCTTAGATTTAAATTCTCTTTAGATTTTAATGAAATGATTCTCACTCTCAGGAGATGTGATGTTAGATGGCAGGACAGCAAGCCGACTGGAGAACACATCTTCCTCTGTTGTTGAACAGGAGAAGATGAAAAATGAGACCACTCTTCCAAAGAGCTGATCAGATTTGGAGAGAAATGTATAACAATCTGATTAGAGTAACTGGGCAGCTCACCTGATGCTGGTTGACATGTTCTATCAATGTGTCGCACTCCAGAGTCGTCCTCTCTCCTTCAGACTTTACTTTAATGAATAACACTGCTGGGAGAGCCAACAGCACTCTGTGACACACACACAGAAGGTTTTCAGTGGCTATACATTTATTGGTTTTCAGGCTTTCCGCACACAAGACCAACTCAGAAAATATTAGGTTCCCCAGGTATTTTGGAGATTCCTCCATGTACCAATAAAAGGAGCTCGTGTACAGCGCATACCTGTTCCATGTGTTCAGTGTGTGTTGCAGGCTGAGCTCAGAGCTGATGCTCAGAGGAGCTGAGGCCTCTGTGAAGCAGCATCTCTGAGACACCAACTCAAACAGGAAGTCACACACATCAGCTCTGCTCCTATGGCTGCCAGGGAGGTCGCTCACTTCCATCTCATAGACAAGCTCCTACACATACACACGCACAGAATGATAGTTGTCTTTTTTTTTTTTTTTTTTTAATTAAAATCACTTTTAATAGATTACCTAGGAATGTATTTATGAGCACAACATCATTCTAATAAACAGCATTACTTGTGTCAGCTGAACACGTCATATTCAGTGTACACACCTGTAACCTGGACAGGATGTCTGGCAGACAGGTTCCCGTTTCTGACGAGATCTTTTCCAGCCTCTGCTTACTGTTGACATAAAAGAGTTAAGAGTTGCATTTTATTACAGTTTATTTCCAATTTTATTATTAGGTTTCACAAAGGAGAGAACAGGGTGTACTTGTTGAGTCTTTCAGGGTGCTATAGTACAACATAGAGACTACTGTATTCACAAGCACAGGGAGAGAGCCAATATGCCTTATTTAGACTTCATTTTTCACTTGACTTTTTAAAAACCACTGTAAAATTAACCTCATACACTCAACAATAAGCTGCATACGCTTCAGGGGTCACTCATGCTGACCTGTATGCTTTCTGTGAAAAAGATCTGACACACAAACTTTTGAAAAAATGTACTAGCCTGTTGCCTTCAGCTACACAACAAAAATTAAATCTATTTCACTTCAATGTCTTTTGTAAGTTTGTTTATGTCTATTAACAACACTAATTACATCTACAACAGAAGACATTTTGTGTCACCCACTTTAACTGTTGGTCCATGATGGCTTTGAGCAGATGAGAGCAGAGATTCTTCACATCTCCACCACAGCCTCCCTGCTCCTCCGGACGAGACAGATAGAGCTCCAAGCAGGCCCACTGTTGGTACTCCTGACTACACACACACCCACACACACACACACACACACACACACACACACACACACACACACACAGTTACTAGGTACTTTGACTTTATTTTTGCTGTGTGTGTGTGTGTGTGTGTGTGTGTGTGTGTGTGTGTGTGTGTGTGTGTCTGTCTGTCTGTCTGTCTGTCTGTCTGTCTGTCTGTCTGTCTGTCTGTGTGTGTTTCCTGCTTTACCGTTCTGGGTCTGACAGGGCGTCTTCACTTCTCTGTACTCTGAGCTCATTAGCCAGCCATTCTGAAATCAATAACTTGACAAACATAAAGGATGAGGGTACTTGTGTTGTCAATAAGATCAGTCCATCAATCAATTTAAATACAAACTAGAAAAGTGCACTCAGCAGACCACAGATCTCCACCCGGGTGCTAGAGGTGATCATGGCCACTCAATACATGCAGTGCAGCTGTGCCCAGTGTAATTGCCCCTCCTGATAAAATGTTTTTTGCCTCTCATATCATGCCCAACCATAGTGGATCATAATGTATCAGGAATGGAATTAATCTGCAGACACCCAGGTTCAAAGTAAGACCAAACTTTTCTTTTTAATGTCAGTTTTTGAGCCAAGACGAAGGCCAAACTGTGGCCTGCACCAGACAGTGAGGCTTGTTTTTAGCCTGCTGATTGCCAGAGATGCCTTTGCTCTATGCTGTTGCTACATGAATTTGTTGAGGACTTGTGGCCCCCTATTGGCTGGTTAAGAGGAGAATGGAATCAGCAGTCAATGACGGTATTAAACAGTCAATAAAACAACAACTGTGAATCACTGAAACCACAAGTCATCAATGAGCATACAGACATAAATCTGCACACAAAATAAGAGGCTGTTTGGTCCAGTAGTTTGTGAGATTAGCTGTGGACACAGACACACACACTGACTTACACACACATGACACACATTGTTCCCTCCAGTCTTACACCCGGCGAAATTTATATAAGTAACAAAGTTACTGATTGCTCTCTGATGCTCACTGAACATAATATTCCACACTAACACATCTCAACACTCACTAAGCCGAGGCTTTATTCGAGTCAATAACGAGAGGAGCCAGGGAACCCATTTTACCTGATACTGTGGTGTGTGTTGTAGCTGACAGAAAGCTGGGTGCCTCCACAGATGCAAAGCTGTTTTTCTCCAGGTGTTGTTGGTGTCCGTGGCACTGCTCCACAGGCCGGGCAGGTTCTCCTCCTGGTATTCCCTTATGTGACCGCCAGCAGTGATGGGAGTTCTTCTGGCTTCAGGTAACAGTCTTGGGATGAGGTACAGAAGCTGGACAAACACACAATTACATGCAGAGTTGAGGATGTACCAACTCATGCCTCCATAACATCAGCAAGAAAAACTTATTTATTAATGTTTCACAAGTAAATGGTGTGAGTGTTTCCCTGTAGCTCTTTCTTGAGTCAAGTGTTTTAATGTAACACATGCAAAACTCATGACATTATGGCAGTAAGAGAAAAAGACACCTTCTTATAGAAGCTGTTGAGGATGTAGTCCTGCTGTTGGTGCTGGGGCAGTGAGTCCCCTCTGCAGATCCCATAACACAAGGCTGCCACACACAACCTGGAGAGCAACAAGACTGTGAGTCAAGGCCAGATGCCAGTATCACAAACTGACAACACAAGATGAGTCAGGTTAAGTTTTTCACCATCCAGCCACACTCACCTGACACAGAAGAGCATGTTAGCCTGTGTGCTGCAGACCAGCGCGGAGCTAAGAGCTTCTCCGACAGGTACTGGCTCAGGCAGAATGGGCGGGACCAGCTGAACCAGAGGACTGTGGGACATGGAGGCATGGACATGGACCATAAATGCTGCCAGACCAAGTAAGTGGGCAGCACTCAGCGATGACCCCTTTTTGACAGAGGAAGTTTGTAAAGCTGATGAGTGAATGTACTGATTTGAGCAGCGTGGGGGAATAAAGAGGTCAAGTGACTTTAATCAAGCCTAAAAGTTTAAAACAAAACAATCCATGTATGATGTGAAACAGTAAGAGTTACCAGACACAAATGTGAATATGGATTTATGTACCTGGTTATGAAATAGGTCCCAGAGTCTTTGTATAAGACTGGAGAGGAACTGTGTGTTACCAAGCAGGACACTGACGAATCTGGAGGCCCACTGGCTCTGTCTGGAGATACCACAATGAAAGAGATCTCATAACATCAATTGAATTTATATCTAAACCTGTGCACTGAAAACTGGTTAGAATTACTTTGTGCTTGCTCTTCATCACATGCGGTATGTAGATAAAAGGGTCTATATGGCCACTAAATGGTACTCGATACAACTGAGATTTTTTTATGATTAATCCATTGGCAATGATCTTATTTCTTGTTTATTATTTGTAAGATTTTTTTAAAAGTTGTAGCACTCACTTATTAGGAGGGTTTGCTCTGGAAGCGTCCAACAGGCACTGGCAGAAGTTTCTCAGGATCATGTTTACAACCTGAGAATATAGGTGAGAGAATTTAACAATACATAAAATTCTTGACATACATACAGACAACTGATACAGCAGCAACTGGTGATATAAAAACATGAAAATAAAGAATGAAATTCATCAGTGCATACTTTGACGTGGAGCTCAGGGGACGGAGGGGTGTTAATGTGAAGTATGATGACTGTCTGTCTAACCAGCTCATCAGGACGGCCCGGAAAGATGACGGCCAGAGTGTGTGAGATCCTGGACAGCTGGGCCGACATATCTGTGGATACATGACCAGCTTGACAGGTATGGGAATGAGGGAAACAAAGGACCTCATGATTCAAGACTCAAAAGAGAGGATGGGGATGTGCTGTGTGACTGAACTGACTGAGCAGTTATGGAGCAACATTAATATTCACATGGAGTTGTTTGTGTGTGTGTGTGTGTGTGTGTGTGTGTGTGTGTGTGTGTGTGTGTGTGTCCTTTCATGATATCTGCTCACCTCCATCATTTCCCTTATTAACCAGCTCTGTGAACTCCTGCAGCTGAACCTTCAGGACCTCCAGAGGATCATCATTAGTGTCCACACACACTGCACTCCCTGAAAACACAATCACGTGACTGTCGTACAATATTACATCTATGTTTGTCATGATGGGAAAAGAGAAACCACAGAGTGATTAAAATGTGACAGCATGAGGAGATTTCCACACTCCCTGTAAGTGAGCTGTGCCTCTGTCAGATGACGCATTCACAAATTTTCAAATATTGTCATCGCTGTATTATGTAACCTTCTGAAGTTTTTTGACGCCAATATAAAGTAAAATAAAACTTACTCTTTTATAGGTGGTTGTTACATCATCAGAGTAAATCAGATTTATGTACCTGAATTTGAAACCATGTACAAAAAAAGATAATCTTTGTGAGTACACAATTAATGAGCGTTATAAAGAATACCCACCACCCTGCTGCCTCTGTTTCTGGCAGGACTCCACATAAGATGAATACTGTGCAGCAGGGATCTTATCTGCTCTGAGTACAGACAAACATGTGTCAGAACAGTGAAAACATACAGAATAATCACAGATAATCATTATTGATAAGAAGCAAAAAAGGAATGGTGCTAAATCAAAATTTCCCATTTCCCCAGATTAAATGTGTTAAAGAATATATTTTTGGAGACAATAAATACATGACAGGATCAAATTCTGCACATTTTACAAGCCTCTGAAAGTAACTCACTTTTTCAGAGCTTCTATAAAACTCATCCGAGCATCAGCTTTGACAGGAAGCTGGAAGTGAAAGACAAGAGAAACTTGAATTTAGCAGCGTGTAGATTAGACACAAAATAACAGTAAGGTGTAGGTTACTTACCATCCTCGGTGTCAGCAGAGCTGGAAGGAATCGTGTCAGGAAGTACTGCCTCCGGAAAATACTGTGAGAGCACAGTCAATTAAGTGCCCATGCCTCTGTTTAATTCAGTTCTTACATCTACATAAAACCCAGACTTCTTTAAGTCCTGCATATACTGTGAGGCACTTTCTGAATATGCTGCAGGTGAGGTGACTGAATACCTGGCCTCCATGACTGTGGCAGAGATTCTTCCTGTGCTCTCAAACAGAGACACGGCCTTCTCCACATCCTGGACAGCCTGGCACTGCGGCTGAACACACACAGACATTATACTGTTATACACTGTTAAGAGATTAAAAATGGTTTCAAAGCTTGATGCTGTTCCTGGGGGCTTGACCTAACACCACTGAGCTAGTTAATGTTACAGCTGAGCCGAGGAGGACGCCATTAATGTTTACATCTTGTGCTGTCATGAGCATGAGCCTCTCGTCCATGAGTAGATGCACGCTTCCTTCTGCACAGTGATATAGCTGGCAAGTGTAGTTTTGTAGAAAGAAAATAGTTCCTACATTAAACTGCTCATGATTAGGTCTGTGGATTATCTTGAGTAATCAGGTCATGATTTCTGGAAAGAGACATTGCTGTTTGTATTTTTTTGGCGCTTTGAGCACCACAGGCCGAGTGCCATCTAGTTTCATTACAACTAGAGCGAAGGCAGACATCTCTACAGCCGATATCTCTGCAACTCACATCAAAACAACCTAGATCTATGAACAGCACTAGAGGTAAGAGGAAAAAATATGCATTTTTGGTTTTAAGGTGATCTCTTCCTTTAATTATTGATTGTTATGGTATTGCTATTAGAACTCTACTATTAGAACCAATATTGAAACATTTTAAGTATTTAAAACTCAAAATTTGTTTTAACTAAGATTTTTACAGCACAAAATGATCACATCTGCAAGAGACTTGATTGGCTGTTGATTAGCATCAATTATAACTTCACCAGGTGCTGAGGTTTCTGGTTTTCAAATCTTGGTTTAGACACAATACATGAAATGTTTGTTTCAGTACACTGGGACGCTTTCCTTATCCAGTATATCAAAGAGTTACAAAATAAGGACATTCTGTACTGAAATCTCTCATCATTTGTCACTGGCCAGAGAGCTGAGGCACCAAGAATTCATCATGGGTGTCATTATACAAACAAACCACTGGGTGTCACTGTTACCTGCACTGATGCTCCACCTGCACTAGAAACATCCTCGTATAAACCCATGTCCTCCACTGACTCCTGCATGTATGCACACGCACACGCACACGCACACACACACACAAACACACACACAAACACACACACACACGTAGATTCTATTGGATTCAGAAATTCTTGAAACCAACCAATAACATAATCATTACATTTTTCTTCCATCAATATGAAAATTAAAAATAATGCAGTAATCATGCACTGAGGCTAAATCCCTCCTTTTAAGACCAAACCTTTTTACCCCCGCTCTCACCTTGAGGTCAGCCAGCCTGGTCTTGGCCAGAGTGACATACTCCATAAGGAGGCTGCGGTGTTTCACAGGTACATATGGAGGCTGCAGGATGTGAACCTACCAGAGGAAAATGACAGTGAGGTGTTAAAAATCACAGCTGGGTGATTTCTCTCTTTCTAGTGTTTTCTTACAGTTACACTCTTAACTGTTTTGGTTTTCTAGTCCAGCACAGACTGCAGATAGTGTTGGAGGACGGACTCTAAGTACCAATGTAACTACTGAAAAATACTCCATTACAAGTAAAGGTTCTGCATTCAAAATATGACTTCAGTAAAAGTATTACCTGCTAAGCATGTATGATTATACAGTTAGACATCGTCTGTGACTGATACATTTTACATTATTAACTTGTTAATACTGAAGCAGAAATGTGTAAAGCTGGTCCAGGTGGAGGTAGTTTTACTTTATATACATTTAGGTAGTTTGGTCCAAAGGTTTTCAGCCTAGAGGTCAGGCTGTCTCTTAAGGTAAAGGTAAAGGTAAAGGTAAAATTCCACTGATTGTCACACACCTGAATGTGTGAAATTTGTTCTCCGCATTTGACCCATCCCCTGAGGGAGTGGTGAGCAGCAGCGGTGCAACGATTCGGGAATCATGTGGTGATCTAACCCCCCAATTCCAACCCCTGATGCTGAGTGCCAAGCAGGGAGGCAATGGGTCCCATTTTTATAGTCTTTGGTATGACCCGGCCGGGGATCGAACCCACGACCTCCCAGTCTCAGGGCGGACACTCTACCACAAGGCCACTGAGCTGGTAGGGTCACAAAATAAATGTTAGGGGTTGTGAATGAATAACTGGATAGGGAAAAGGAGCTGCTCTATCATCGCTGAGCTCAAAGCATTCTCCACAGGTTTCCATAGACAATGCATGGCAGCTCGCCACAACCCACACTTAGCTGCTGCTTGGTGTGTTTTCTGTGTTGCTGATGATATCTATCAAAAATCTCATTGTGTAAAAGTTCAGTGAAGGCACCAATAGTCAGCTGTATAATATCCACATGTAGACACAGTTCTATTGTTAATGGTCATAAACCAAAAAGGTTGAGAACTACTGGTTTGATTTTTTTTAAACAGTCATTGTGTTTTATAATCTTATCATGTTTTTTAGCTAAAAAATCTTAATGTTAAAAGCAATATAGCTGTAGCTGTAAACTAAGGCTGCTGGATAAATGTTGTGGATGGATTAAAAGTACGTTTCCCTCTGAAATGTAGTGGAGAAAGTACAAAATAGCATAAAAACTGAAAGTACAGTTTTATTTCTATATCTACTTGCTGCCCAAGTTTGCCTGTGGGGATCATTACAGGTTCATCGAATATATAAGACACCATGTATCTTATGTCCAGTGAAATGAGGTTATGGATCGTCAGAGACGTGTGCAGAATGTCACCTTGAGGTACAGTGGGGGTTCAAAAGGCACCAAGTCAGACAGGAACTTCAGCAGAAATACCAGAGATTTCTTACTGGTCGCGTGGTAGCCACTGCCTCCGCCGAAAGACATCTGAAAAGGCAGAATAAAGAAATATTTATAAACTCTGGCCCTCTGTCTGTGACAGGAACAACTGCAACAGACAATCAGAGGATCTTGTAAACTGTTGCATCATCTGTTTGATCAAAAACCCTATTAATCCACATAGACATACGATCAACCTTTGTTAAACAATCTGGAAAAGTAAAAAAATACTTACTGCACATTTCAAATGATAATTATTAAAGAAAAGGTCTTACACTAGTACAGAACAAGCTGATCAAAATCTATCAAATACAAATGCACATTTATTCAAAATTACACTTTGTTTCATTATCTTGAGTTTTATTCAAGGCATATTATGTCCATAGTCTAGACAGTAATTCAGAGGCATTTTCATCCTGAACAGAATTCATTCCTTCAGCACAGGGCATTTGAGGTATGTACAACCAACTAGTGTTGAAAAGCCACAATGAAACCTTGAACCAGTTGCTGTAGGAAGGGAAGATGCCTGGTCCTTCCAGCGCACCCTGTCGAGCCAAGAGGAAGGCGGTTATCATGTTCTCGAGGTCATAACCTTCAAATGCAGAGCTCAGCAGCCTGGACAGCAACTCTGGTGGAAGCAGAGAAACATAACAGAGATGACAAGCCTTGTAATACTAGAGTAAATATGATATGATTTACAACTGATTTCTATCAATCTGTGTTTCCCATTGTGTTTATAGAATGGTTAAGTAATGTATTCTTAAACCTGGGAATAAGTTAACTTTTTTGCACTCCCAGTTCCCTCGTTGTTTTTGAATTGATTTTTGGTTAGATGCCTGAAATAAGGTCTGTGGTTAACACAAGCTGAAGAGACTTTCACGCTTGTTCTACAACATAAAATATGTCAGTAAATAACCCACTCATTATTTTGAAGCTCTAAGGGGTCTTATAAAAGACAGCTGCTAACATGTGGCTGAATGAGACTACACAGCGTCATCACTCCGAACACGGCTTTACAGCCTCGTTATGGTGGTGACGATGAAGTCATGCAACTGTGGTGTGGTTTGTTTATAGCATAACGTTAGCTTTTTCCGCATGGCAATCCAAAATCCAATAGAAAAATCACACTGGCTTTTTGTTAAGGGAACCAGGGCAATGTTAACTGCCTTATAAAAGGGCAACTTCTAAGTACTTCACTCATCTATAAAAAACTGCGAAACTAAGTTAATTCTATTGTGACAATCTGACTATATGTGTAGTCTCAGCTCAAAATATTGGCACTTGGCTGTCTGAATCCAATATAAGAGATACCGGTAAAAGCAGGCTGCTGTGTTTACCTGTTAGGCTGGTCTGGGCACAGGGGTTGTAAACCAGCAGAGTGGAGAGGAAACACAGGACGTGTTTCCAGTTGACCTCATGGGTTTCCAAAACCTTCTGCAGGTGACACAGCAGCTGCTCCACACTGAAGATTACAGCCAGCTGGTACAGAAACACAGCAATAACACAAACAAGCTACTGTTAGTTCCATTACAATAGACCCTTGTGACCATAAATCTGAAAATACAAAAAGCATTAAAAGTAAGCTCTTTAGCTCTGTGAAACCATAAACTAAAGTGCTAGTCTAAAGAAACCAAGAGCAGAACACAGGGAGTGACTGACAGACAAACAAGCTGTTTGCTGCAGCTAAGAACATCATTACAGATAAATCAATACACTCAGTGCTGTGTTCCTCTGGGCTGAAGGCTGTACGCCTGAAGCTGGAGAGATTTGATTGCTGTTGCATCTGTCTACACTTGGGGCAAGTTCACGCTGCAAACATACACCCGCTGAAAGCGCTTGTTTTTGCCACTGACAGGCTCAGATTGTTTTTCCAAGTGTCTGACAGCTTATGGAAGGTATCCTTACAGAGGCTGACATTTTTGTGAGAGAGGAAGATCCTTTATGTTTAACCAGAAATAGCCCCAGATTGTGACAGCAAAAGCCACCAGACTACATCTAAATAAACAGTAATTTAAGCATGTACAGTATAGAGCCAGCATATTTACACATCATAATTGGGTGATTAAGGGTTTATTTCAACCAATGATTTGATGATTTGAGTTGATGATTGATGGAACAGTGGAAAGATGAACCAAGATGGTTTTGTGAGTTTTATTTTGTTTCTCTCAACTTTGAAGTACGCATGTCTTACAATTATACAATGACGGTTTTCTTAAATGGAGTCTGGTGGGTTTGGTGATAGCAATTTTGGGGCTGTTTCTGGTTGAACAAGAAGAATCTTACTTTTAAACAAAAGGCTCTGTTTTTACTGGTATGCATTCCATAATGTTGTCAGACATTTAAAAAACAGTATGAGCCTGTCAGTGGCAAAACAGGCACTATTAGTTGATGTAAACTGACAGTGCTTAATTACATTACACTGCAGCCAGTTCACTAGACCAAGTTAAAAAACTGTTGCTCTTATTAGTCACTTTAACACAAAAACATCAGGTTGAAATTACTGAAGTTACCTTTTAAATATATGTTTACAAACTGGACAACATAAAACATTTACCTTACGGAAAAGAGTCGTCAACAACCGGCTGGCTTTTGCAAAGGTCCACTCATTCTGCTGAGCGATGGCATCCGACACTGTGGATATGTGACTTAGTTGTGACACATCAGGTTTCTACAAATTATTTCTGTTATCATTTAAAAAAGCAGCATGCACTGTACATTAGGATTCATATTTCTAAGTCTTCCCAAACCTGAATTTTCTGAATTTAAGTTCTTACCAGATTAGTGTACAGCAAAATTTAAGTAAAGTCATCATCAAGCAAAAACAGCATCAAGCTATTAAAACGTTCTGTAACTTGTCTTTACCTGTTAGCCGAGGCTTGTAAGTGAGAGTCTGTGTGAGGGAGTGTGTGAAGAAACGCTGAAGGGTATCCACGGACATTGAAGCTCCACATAATGAAGTATCAAATATCTGAATCCTGTACAAACACAGGGCAGGGCAGTAAGAAACAGAGACATTAAACATCATACATGTCCTCATTGATGATGCATTGATCACATATCCCCAGGGACACACTGTTTGTTCACTATAGATAAAAACATACCCTAGAATTAAACACATTTTGTATAGAAACAGCACAATTAACTTTCATGCTATTGGCCGTAGTGTTTAATTACAGGAGATATATTCCACAGTCAGTGTTTTACATAAATGACTCTGAGACTGAGAGGGGATGTGCACAGTGTTGTACTCTAAGTGGACGCTGTCGTAGACTGTCTCCATGTATAAATGAACAGCTTACTGCTGCAGACAGAGGCAGGGCTGTGACTCAGTGTGTGAAGCACCCAGGCTGAGCAGAGACGGCCAGTTACAGTAATACACATACAGTCTGATCGTAGGTGCCAGGTGCTCTGCCTCAGCATTTCAGGACCAGACAAGCGGCAGGAATTTTACTGAGAACAGTGCAGAACAGAAAAATTATCCAGTCAGCTGCCGTCCAGCTGGATCAAAGTATTCAGAAAACGTGGTGAAGCTGCCAGACAGGCAACAAGTCTGCACAGAAACTCTTGTGAAGTTTACTGGCTACAGTAACAGATGAAGTTAAACAGGGTGTCTGCAGGCATCAGGCACTTAAACTGAATGCTCTTTAACACCTTGTAAAGATGTTTTTTAACCAATCTAAGACTGATTTTTGGGCAAATCATCATCATTTTTCATATTTAGAATTGCAGGTACATATAAATGGAAGTAGTAAGGTAGGTTTTATAGAGGGACATGGTTATAAGGGTGGGTTAGGTTAATCTACTTTGGGCCAACAGGAAAGTGCAAGTATAAGGTTCAGTGGTAGGTTTAAAGATTTGCAACAGTAGAAATGTGGACTTTAATGCTGAAGAGCTAAAGAGACTAATTTTGACAAAAGGAATTTAAAGACGGATACATTAAATTAGATAAAATATCACATTTTAATGACCTACAGACACCCCCTTAAAGCAGGCATGAGCTCAAAAACTGAACAGCTGAAGAAAGAAGAAACATCAGTCAGACCTACAAAATCCTGGTTTCTTTTGTCACACGATGACAGAAACTGTCAGGCACTAATCTTTTCCTGTGGCCCAGTGTAGCAGCAGCATCCTTATGTATTTTTAGAATAACCAGGTGACACTAATCAACTCCTAAAATCAGGACATATCACATGACCATGCTGTCTTTAACAGGTTTTTGCCTTTAGACTGTCATCAGTCACTGATACATTAATCAAAATCTATTTTGATTAACGATTAACCCTTTACTCATTCTTTAGAGCTCCTTCTCATTTGGTAAAAATTGTTGCTTGTCTTTTGTAATGATAAACAGAACATTATTGGATTTTAAACTGAAAAGATGAGTCAGCACATTCCCCAATAATGAAAATAACTGTTAGCAGTTAGTTGTAGTCTTAAACTACGGTAGACTGATGAAAAAAAATCACTGCGGTGTTAAAAAGCCGGGCATTTATTTAGAAGCCTGGCCATGGTTGTTCATCACAGATAAAATTTTTGAATATATATTTAACATTAATCTGGTGCATTGTTGCTAGCTGTCCTTGGTGTATTAAAATGAAACACCACAGCCTGTTCTGTAGACTCAGCTGTGAATATTTGATGAATTAATATTTGACTCACCAGAGTGCACCATTCTAGCTTGGATTCTATGAGGTGCGATTTTGTGGAGGAAGAGCAGGTTCAGCCCATCTGACAGACCTTTCTACTTGGACTGAAATCTGTAGTTTTTAAACTTTTACAAATTACCTTTTTGTCATATTTTGTCATTTTCTGAAACTATCACTACATGCTGCCTAGTTTGACAGTTTGACCGCAGTTTACAAGCAGCGAATGACATGATTGACAGCTACGTTAGAGACTCCGCAGCTCTGATTGGTTGTTTCGTTCCAGTGCAGCAGATTCTAGCAAAAGCCACTGGAGGCACTATGTACAGGCAGAGGAACATGTTTTTTTACCCACAGACAATCTGTCTTATGTTTAACTGTGTGGATATGGTGACAGTTTGTGCAAATATGATAAAATGTTATTTTTATAAAAATTACTGTCGCTTTAACAGATCCTTTCGAAGATCTGGTCCCTTGGTTGGGACATACAGTATGTCATCATTCCACCTGAACTTAAAGACATTATCCTTTTTTTCTGAAATACGCTTATTCACTTTTTTTGCAAGTTTCTAGTTGGATGAGAAGATCGATACCACTTTCATATATGTCAGTTAAATATGAAGCTACTGCAGGAGATAGTTAGCGTAGATTATCATAAAGGCTGAGAACAGGAGCAAACAGTTTGTATTCAGGTCTCTTTCTTCAGACAATGAACTCAGTCTGAACAAGACCACCTGACATCATAAAGGTTTTAAAAACAAACAAATGAAAAGCAAAGAACCATAGCTCAGCTCCTGCTCCAGCAGACTGCAGCGTCGCACTCTTTTCCATAGTGTCCAGGAGCCCTGAAGAAAACAGACAGAAAAACGATGAAGTGTTAAAAAGGAAGGCAAAAAAATAAAGTACAAAAATGATATTTAGACATCATTTCAATTAAAGAAAAAATAGCTTTCAGGGTCCGGAGGTGTGAATCAAAGAGCTTTACTAAATATTTCATCAACACAGTAGAGTGTAAGTGGGATGGGGACGTGTAGACTCACAGAAGAGCATGTCATCCAGCACTGAGCAGCAGAACAGGGACGTCTTCCTGTCTGCAGCTGCTGGTTCCTGGCTCGCCTCGAAGCCAGTTCCAATCAAGATTCCAACCACAGCTAAAATACAGAAGATCTTTCATTAGAATTATCCTGAGCAGCAGCTTTTGTTTTTTGTGCATATTTTTTCAAGTGTTCTTAATACCATGAGCGTGCCTTTTTTTATTTTTACAGCTGTGCACTCATATTTATGACTGGATTGTGAATAATCCAGACTCTAGCTGCCTATGTGTTCAAGCTCCCTGTTCAAAGTATGCACTTAGGGACTGACCTGGGTTGTTTGATGCTGGTAATATGGGGTAATAATGGCATTAGTAGACATAACAATTATTTTCTGACAATGTGGCAATGAAATCTGAACAAATAATTGAAAAAAAATGATATCCTTAGGCCGGACTTCTTTTGTAATTTGCAGATTAGGCATTATATATATGGTACAGCACATCACTAGTTGACCACTCAGAAAGATCTCCTGTTGAGAAATTGTTTTTTCCAACAACTGGAAAAATATGTGTCAGTCGGTTTTGAACCCCCTGTTACTTTACAGGGGCTCAGGTACACATGGGACAGGTACCTATCTGTCAAAAATACTGATGAAGAGTAGGAAAATATCTGGAGGCATGCTATATCTATTTCAGTCTGCAATCGAATCAAAGCAATACGGTTTAAGATAACACACAAAGTGCATATATCCCCAACCGTAGACATCATTTTAGCCCTTCTCTTTCACCTATGTGTCTTCAATGCAACACAGAAATGTTGTGGACGGTGGAGTTCAAACAGTAGCAAACAATATTGTTTGGATCACCCGCTTTAAGTATTATAATGAGCCATTTGTTGATGAGTGATTGAGCCAACATTTTCCAAGAAGCACAACTTTAACTAGACGAGTGAGAGAGATCTGTGTCCCTACTTGACAGCACTTTGTGTTGAACTTGTTTGGTCTCCTCTTCTCCCTGTGGAGGTGTCCATCCGCACAGAGCCTTCAACTGAGACACCAACCACGACCTCACTGTTTCATCACTGAATGGAGAAAAAGCAAAAAGGGGGAAAGACTGAGTGAAAGGTTTTGTTTAAAAGTTTACGTCCTGAAGAAAGGTTTTAGGTGTCAGCCATGCTTTTAACATTTACTATCCTCGAAATCTGAGTGACTTGTACAGTATATCCTTTTTTTGTTGTGTGGAGCTTATATTTGAGTCCTTCTGTAAACTGAACAATTCATAGATGGCTCTTACTACAACCACAGAGAGGCACTGTGACACAGGACTGATGGATAAGTGTCTTCTGTTGTTCAGTTCTGATGCAGTATTGAATCTTATTATTGTGAAAGCCACCTTTGTGAATTCATGCAGTCTGATTTCTTACCTCAGATGAGTCAAACATTCAGATAGAAATCCAGGCTCCGAACTCGTGACTTGTGACATGTGACTGAGAATATATCCTGACAGGACAGACGTCTAATCTATCACCTCAACGTTCAAGTTTGAATTTTAAATTCTGTTGTCTGAACTGAACCAATCAAATTTGAGCAACCTGATTTTTGGACTTAGACTGTTTTTTTTTTTTTTTTCTTTTTTTTGAAAAATGAAACATAAAATCATGTTTGTGAAACTGCACTACTGTTAACCCAACTCACACAAATTCAGATTTTGTTTTCAAACTAAACTGTTTCAATACTATAAATTCAATAGTACTCAAATTTTAAAAAATAAGTGCTCAGAAGTGGTTCTCTCTCACAATTATGTGTTCAGTTATTTATAACATTCAAATCCTTATGGTCTTTCTTCACTTCCACAGTGTTTGTAGAAGTATTTTGTTTAATTGTTTGTATGTTCACTGCATGTTTCAACTTTTACTGATAAGAAAGACAAAGATAATTTGATAATCGGTAACTTCAAGGTGAAGCCTGTCTATAGCTTAGCTCTGGAGGAACTAACTGAACCTGTTAAAACCACAGACGATTTGCAACATGTGGCTCTTGCAGAACATTATTATGATGATATCACAGGCACTCGTGAAATGAAACAGATTGGTATGAAGTCAATGTCAGAGTTAGAAAATGTGGCAAATCGGTATCATGATCAGTAGCGTAGTGAATAGTGCCGGTGCCCCATGTACAGAGTCAATGCCTCGCTGCAGCGGTCGCAGGTTCAACCCTGGCTTGCAACCCTTTGCTGCATGTCACCCCCCACTCTCTCTCACCCCATTTCACCCTGTCCTGTTCATTAAAGGCAAAAAGCCCAAAAAATAATCTTTAAAAAAAAAAGAAAATGTGGCAGATCAACTCCGACTGGTTGTGTTAGAAAACAGATCAACACTGGGCACAAGTCTCCTGCGAGAGTCAAGGTTTTTCCAAGGTCATTCACAAGTTGGTTTGTTTGTTTTTTTTGTTTTAGATCTTTACACCAATTCACTGATAAAACAGCGCAGGCATGCCTTATTGCACAATCCAAACCTTTATCAAAACTTGCCATTTTGAGCGTGTAGGCTGTTAGCTCAGAGGCTGTTGTTGTTGTGTCCTGTAGTGAAGGATTTGGAAATGGTATCATGCAGATAGCTGATGGGAGAATGCTGGCTTAAACAGCTGGCCAATGACAGATTCATAGCCACTGTCTACACCTGGTGAGTCAGACAACACTAAACTGTAACCATCCACTACTACCTGCTCTCTCTCATCCAAGGCAACCACACAGCTGTAGCTGGTGTGTTGCAAATGTGCAGACTCAATTCAGGTTTCAAGGTATAGCATGATAGAAAAGTTGATGGTTATCATACTGTACATTTGCTTATCTATAATATTGGAAAAACTCAACTGACCGCTGACTCTCTCCTTTATTTAAGTTATTTTCTAAGGGGATACTTTTTACACATACTTCCATTAACAAAATGGTTTCAAGTTTCAATTATAGTAATAGACATTTGTTCAACCAATAACAGGTCTTCCATTTTCATTCCTCTAAGGGTCATTCTCACTGATAATATAAATTCCATACTACCATGATACAGTGAAACCACACTATTTTCTGAGACGATTATCGTACCATGAAAATCTCATACCGTTGCAACCCTGGACTCAATATTTTTCTTCAGACATGCTGACATATCAGGGAAAAGATAAAAGATAATTGCCTGACAAACCAAAGAAATGAACCATTCAAACCTCTACAGATAAAGCTTCATGTTTCCTTTCCTTTATGAGAGCTTTCAAAAAGTATATGACAAACATGTGCAGGGAATCATCATAAAATAATTTGTTAGATAAGTTAGCACCAACAGCTTTTCAAATCTAACATCAAAGTGCACAAGAGCTTGAATAAAAGTCCAAAGTGTTTTATCTTCTGCTGGAGTAAATGCACTGTCTTAAATACTAGTTGGCTGCTGAGCACATGTTTATGGCAGTTACAAAACATCATGCCCCACTGGTGCGTTCTCATGTGCAGATATCTGTGTTTAATTTTTCAGAGTCTACTTTCTTTGCAATGCTGTTGCCTGATTATCAGACAGAATTGTCAACTCGTTACACTCTGTTTTCATCTTCAGTCTGACATTGTGTCCTCTTTTTTAATTTTTGTGGAGGAGGAGGATTTTATTTACCCTAACCAATCACTAGAGACCAATGTATTCACCTTAATTTAACGTTATTTTAAGTCCACACTGATGCGTAGCCATGCCAACATACATGTTTTGCTGTGGTTTTAAGGGTTGATTGGCAATCATCCGTCTTCCCTCTGCGCTCATTGGTTGCTTTTCATATCGATATATAATATATATATATATATATATTATCATTATTAGATTAAATAAATTAATAAATACATAAAAATAATTTCATATTTTTTGGTCTGTTGTTTTAAAGTTACAGTTGTGCGTAATATTAAATGCTTTGCTTGACGGATATATCAGGGTACAAGCACAAATGAGTTCTCATTTGCACCCCTATAGCCTGAAAATATAAGTGTGCCCAGTATATGTATTGTTTTTTTGTCTACGGTTACATGTTGGTCATCCAAAGACAAAAAAATCGGTGTCTACGTGGCTAGAGAGCTTAATGAAAAGGCAGGTTAATTCTTTGTCCCAGAACCTGATAACTGATGGCACAAACAAAATTCCCCAAAAACTGAACTGGAAAAAAACCCTAACAAACAAAAAACACCCTCATATTTCTCACCTCTCTATGATGTACTTCAGAGTGAGTATGTTGTAAAAGTGAAGATGGTACACCACCTCCAGCTTGGGTAATCTCTGTAAAAAAAGAAGCACATTAAATATTTCATTTACATCTATTATATAAGAAAGCCAAGCTGGGTTTTTCCCATTGCCGCAGTGTAAAGGAATAAGCAGATATAAAGAGATAAATAAAGTGAGTGATTTTACATTTTAAACTAAACTTCCTCAGTTGTGTATTTACTGAGACTCGGCTGTGTAGAACTCAGACTGAGAAACGGTATTTTAAAGCAAATTAGTGGAATTTAACAATTGTGCAAAATCATCAGAAGTAAAAACTTTCTTTAGGTCTCATGTATGAACTCTAACATGCGCACACACCTGATTTCTTCTGTACTCCTGCCAGAGCAGTTTAGGGCAGAGGGCTCCCTGTGACAGGAGTTCTCTGCTGGACTTCAGCAGGATACACAGCTGGACCTGGAGAGGACAGGGGTGGCACTTATAGAAATGTCATATTTAACATGATTTTTTATAAAAGAAACTGAACAAAAATCCTGCAGCAATGAATGACAAACTCAAGGTGGAGACTTTTGCTGCTTCAAAAATGTTAAACTACAGAAGTAACAATCTGCCGTGAGATCTGCAGCACAGACATGATGCAACAACCATTTTCAATATGCAGAACTGCATTAAAGTGAAGTTGTGGCACCAGGGAAAACGCCATGTCACTGTGCGTATGAAAACCACAATGACACACTGAGTCAAAAAATACTAAGACACACATACATCACAGTATACTAAAGTTGTAGCTGACATTTTTCATGAAAATATATCTTTAAAAAATGAGTGCATGACATTTATCAGATTAAATATCACTTATCAAATCAGGTAATCTGTTCAGAGGTAAGATTTCTTTCATAAGTGAGACCCGAGTACAGCAGAAAACAACAGAAAAAAGACATAACAAAAACACTGCAAATCATAAAAACCCACAGATAGAAACAACCACAGTAATCACTAATTGGGTCCAAATTTAAACGTTTCAAATCACCTCCTGGGATGAGATGTGAAAGCTTTAAAATCCTTTGTAATCTTTCTGTATACAGTGCAAAGTTAAGGAAGGTAGTCTTCCCTAATTCATCATTTACCTGTGCAGCATCCTGATCCTAAAATATGCAGCGTGTTCCAGCTCAATTCTACACACTATTTATAGACATTATGTACTATTAACACTGTCATTCATTTTTTCCCCAAATGCCTGTTTTGTGAAGATGAGGATTACTGTTGTCATTCTAATGAGCATGTGTGTGACGTTACTGGTTGCATGCAAGGCATTTCAGGGCAAACATCTGTTTTGTGATATCAGATATGGATCACATCAAACATGAATGTAAACAGTCTAGGCAGAAAGATCAGATCTAAGGAAATGATCAGAATTGAGCTGTGATGTGAACGCAGCCTATGTTTTTCCTCATTAGTTTTCTTCTGTTGGATGTCAGCAGGAAATGTTTTTAAAAATCAGATTATTTGTTAAATTTAGTGCAAAGCCTCTGATGATACGAGCAGCCTTCTACATTTTCACCTACGGTTCCAGTGACACCTGCACTAACTTACTCAGCCATCAACATGTTGATGAGTTGGCAGGTTAAAGTTCAGATGGTCTAAAGTTAACAGTCAACACTTTTTTGTTACATTTGCATGAGGTTACAGACTGAATGCTCACCTTGGACTACACCTCAAAGATTATAAACATCAAATGTCAGATACTTACCCGCTGAGAGGAAGTGAGCAGCCCTGTCATCTTGTCCTCCTCCTTCTCCACTTCTTCATTTACAGTGATCTCCATCAGTCTCTCCAACATCATCTTCACTGACAGCGCTGCCACCGGGACACCCAGCTGCGAGGCCTGACGCCTTAGTTCACACACTGTCCACAGACAATACAACACATCCTGTAGTTTTGAGCATTTACTTTGTGTCACAGTTAGGATGTCGTCATGCGGCACTACTGTGAGTAGTGACCATTTCAATGAGTCTACTTTGTGGTGTATAAAAGCAAGCAAAAATCTTCTGAATACTGTCAGTTGTCAAAAAGATAAACAATGAAAAATGTCGGACATCATGCAAAGATTATGTGAAGATGCTAACTCAAATGTGAGGTGTTGAAGAATCCTAACACACAACAAACACTGAGAGTTGCAGAAACTCCTTCCTTGTACCGCACTTTTCCTTCTTCATAGTTTTACAGCGCTTGGTTTTGCGATTAATGTGTGGAGCAGCAGGTGTCTCTGAGGCACTGACTGTGTCAACTTTTGTCACTATGGCAAAACTGATGTACAGCACAGAGGCTATTTCTGAAACTTAGTATCAATAACTCACCCAGCAATGAACCTGCAATGGAAGATGTGATGCCCTCAGACCCCGCATGTTCCTGCTCTCCTGTCTGAGTGCAGAAAGCGTTGCACGGATCTGGATTCTACAGAAAGTGTGTAAAAAAAACAGTGAAGGTTAGTAACTACTAAAATTCAAACATATCATCAGTCCTGCCCTCAATTTGAGGATGAAGCTGCTTTCCTAACTCTTAAAAGGCCACTCTATAGTGCATCATACATGTATCATCCATCCAGAAGCACTTATTCCAAATGCCTTTGATGGTTTAATTCCATAAATAAATAAAATATAAATGCTTTTAGCCACAATGCAATGTAGAATATTTTTCACCAAAACCAATCAAGTTGCATATTGATTGACTGATTGCATAATATTGGGTAAGTGCTGTATTGTGGCCAGTAAAAGCTGCAAATCTTTCCATACAGTCAAATATAACATCACAATTTACTTTCTTACCCATCTAGCACTTTCGTTGCAAATTTGAAGTTATGACATCATCTGACAGTTATGACATTGTCAGCTGTTACATGCCTTTTACTTACTTAGTCCACAGATTAGAATAAAATGTGGTTATAATGGTTTAATGTCTGTACATTGGCTGTGCAGCCCTGTGGGTTCTGCCTTCATTGCTGATGTATACTGACTCACCCCGACCTCCCTGAGCAGACTGCAGAGGTTCTGCTGCTGCTCCAACAGCTGGATCGTTGCCTCCTGCAGCCTCTGACCATCGCCCTGCTTCGGCCTCTTCACCACACGACCAGCTGGGAATACAACAGCAGGAAAAAAAACACATAATGCTTAGAATAAGATTTATATAGAGACAGTGTCAATATTGTGTAACACAGTTCGCCAAACAGTACAGAATTTTCTTACTTTGTTGTTATGTTACTTATTGCAAAAATTAAGCTAGTTGTAAAATGTTGGCCAGTTTTACAGGGATTGTTCAGTTTTTTGAAGTAGGGTTGTACGGGGTAGTTATCCATAGTCAGTGTATTAGCTACAGTAGATGTCGGCCGGCACAACACACTGGAGAAGCAGGCTTGAGTCAAACATGGAAGCTAAGCAATGTATTGCTTTGGATGGGTGTCAGCAACAAAATCTTAGCGTATCTTAGCCACCTAAAAAAAAATAACACCTAAAAAAATCTATATCAGTTTGAGTGCACACTATATTTAGAGTATTTTCGCTGCTTTACTTTAACCTCAGACTAATTTCCAACTGGAAAATAAAGCTGTTATATCGCTCTTTTCAAAGCCAGACTTCATTGAGGAAAAATGTGATTTAATATTGCTAAACACAGGAGCTATTGGTCTCCTGCTGCACACAATAACACAAACTAATGAACCATTTGAAGCAACAGTATACCAGCAGCTCATGTGTTCAGCAAGCTAAAATGTTTCTGTCAATGGAGTCTGGTGGCTTTGATGAGAGCATAAATGGGGAACTGAAACAGTTAACGGTTTAAGGGGCTGTCTGAGGAAAAGGTAAAGCACTAACTATACGCTCAATATGGCATACAATTATACTGATATTAATAGTAGGACTTTTTAGGTGGCTACATTACGTTTCGTTGCTGACCCTGTCCACAGCAGTACATTGCTCAGCTTCAGTGTCAGACTCCTGCCTGCTTCTCCAAACTGGGGGCGTGCCGACTGACATCTACTGTAGGTAGCACACTGACTATGGCTAAGTACCTCATACAACCCCACTTCAATAACAAAAAGAACCATCCCTTTAAGGAGGACAGATAGGTGAAATGCTGGCACCTTTGGAAGGTTATTTAGTTGAAAAAGAAATGTATATAAGGGTGCTTCCCTATAAAGAGTCACACCAAACTCCACTTAAAAGTTGGCAATTTAACACACTCACGCTAACAGCCGACGTTACAAACGTCAGTCAGTATTTGTCGAGACAATGAAGACATAATCATAACAATGGTTGTTGGTCTGACTACGTTTTCATAGCGTGCATTTTAATTTCAGACTGTATTTACATATTGTGTTAAATGGTGCTAGCGTTGACATAACTCGGTCCAGCTGCTAACTCACCGAGGAGGCTCGACACAGTCCTTTTCTGAGAAACCGAATCACACGTTGCACTCAGTGACATTTTACTTTAACTGAATGTTTCTCGGCGCTTTTGAAGACAGTCGACGTTTTCAATGACCGCATTCATTCCTTAGTTAGCCCCATTTCTCTTTCAAGCTGTAGCGGCACTGTTTTGGCTGTTCTCCTCCTCCATGTTTCTCCTCGCGCTCTTCTCTCCCATTGGTCAATGCTACAGCCAATCAGGATAGACCACTGCCAGTTACCAGCTGTGGGACAAACAGAAAACAACCCGGAGTTATAAAGTCCTCAACTGTTGTTTCCACAGATGTTTGTTTTAAAAGTTCAAGTTCAGACGGTCAGTTTCTCACTCTGAATAACTGTACTAAATGAATGAATAAATAAATAAATCCATCACATTCATGTATGTCTTTGTGGAAAAAAATCCTTACAAAATTAGTCAGGTCATTAACCAACACATCAATGTCCACACACATGACAGTGCACAAATAGATTGATGAATGGTACAGAAGGCATGTCACCTCTCCTTCTTTAGTCATCAAACAGGTCCAGCGATGCCAGGTGTTTACCCTCCTCATATACTGACTGACTGACTGATTGGAAGCATGTAACTAGAAAATTCAGTGAAATTATAATTATTATTATCATTATAAGTATTGGTAGTAATAGATAGTTGTACTATTAATAGTAGTAGCATTACCATTATTGTTGTTATAATAAGAATGATGATCATCTTTATTTCTAAAGCACTTTTAAAACAGTGTTACAAAGTGCTTCACGGGACAGCAAGATAAAACAGACGAGTCATGGAGTCAGTAGGTTTTAAAGGTCCAGTGTGAAGCAGATGTGGAATTTAATACAATAATTATGTTTTACTTTAGTGTATAATCACCTGAAAATAAGAAATGTTGTGTTTGTGTTACCTTAGAATGAGGGTTTATATCTACATAGGAGCATAGACTGTATAAAATAAGGAGGTGGGTCCTCATCCATAGATATCGCCTTGTTCACTGCCATTTTTCTACGGTAGCCCAGAATAGACAAACTAAACACTGACTCTAGATAGGGCCATTTGTGTTTTTGCATTGGCCACTGTAATTAGCAGCCACTCCATGATGAGAGTGTCAGAAAAACACTCATTTTTAACAAGAAACTGCTTTACTCAGTGTTTATAAAGGTTTAAATCACTGGGTTCATTTGTTCTGGAGAGGAAGGGGCCTCTGTGGATAATTTAGCTCCCAGTAAAAACCTCCTGACGTTTGGATCATAAGTTATCAGAGAACAAAAAGGTGAATACAAATCAGCAGGTGCTTAGCTAGTGGCACTTCTCTAACATGCCGAATTATGTCAGAGAAACACTGATTTGTAATGTCAAACTGCTTTATTCCGTACTACACTGAAGGAATTCTAACTGGGAGAAGTTTCAACTGGTTGCAATCTGCAGTCTTCACCTTTAGATACCACTAAATCCTCCTAAATCTTACACACTGTTCCTTTAAATGAAAACGGATTTTTAAAAAAATATATGCCTACACTGTCACAACCTTGATTCGGGGGGTCTGGTACTTCAGAAATAATCACACCACTGTATGCCTGAATGGTTACAGTACATAAAACTGAACTTGACTCAAATTTTTAAAATATTGTCTTTATCCTCTCTCTGTTTCTTAGTGGTCAGTAGCCAATCATTTTCTTTTTGCATCTCCAAATACTTCCTTTTCTGAAAAGGTAATGATTCAAAAGTAGGCCTCTCATGCAGCTCTGGTAACTACATTCAGTTCCATGTGAACTTGCTGAACAACATTTTATGCGCTCTTTGAACATGGGCGAGATGTAACCAGTTCTGAAACTTAACCTGAACTTTTGTTGTGTAGCCAAAGATAACAGGAGTGTCAGTTTACTGTACCCTATTATATCATAGAAACACCTCTGCACTGTATATCAGTTTTCATCATCCTGTACTGTGTGTGTCTGTTCTTTTTCCACGTTTTTATTTGTTCTTCAGTGTATGTTAACAGGGTGTTGCTGTAAAGAGCATATATGCTCAACTGATCTGTATTTAAAAAAGGTTAAATAAATATAACTGTCTGAGGAGAATATGGATCCTTAAAACATACACATTTAAACAGTTAAGCCATTTTTCAGCCGCGGCCTTATTGTGATGTTGTTTTCCCATTATTTGTGATAGCATTGCATTATTTAATCTCACTGACAAATCGTTTTGCTGCAATCTTTAAATAGTGTTAAACACAGCTATGGAGTGGTGATGTAGGTTTCTAGAATTAGCTTGATTTACACAGGAAGCAGAGAGTCTACAGAATTAAGTGCACATATATAATGAAGGGTTTAGGGGTTGTTGAGTGTCATCCACTTAATTTCTTGCATTTTGGTGAATGGTCATGCACCAATTTGTGCATTTTCTGCATCAATTTATGGTGTAAATGTCTTTAATTTTCCATCCCTCCATCCAATTTTATTGACTTGTCCAGGGTTGGGTTGCAGGGCCAGCAGGCTGAGCAAAGTACTCCAGATGTCCCTCTTCTCAGCAACGCTTTCCAGTTCCTCCCGGGGGATTCCACAGCGTTCCCAGACCGGGGCCTCCTACTAGTTGGGCGTGCCCGGTAAACCTCTAATGGGAGGCGTCCAGGAGGCATTCTGATCAGATCACTCATGAACAAAACACCGAGATACTTGAACTTCTTCGCTTGGGGCAGCAACTCTCTCCCAACCTAGAGGGGGCAAGCTCCATCTTCTGGCAGAGAACCATGATCTCAGACCTGGAATCTTCACACTCGCACACGCATCAGACTCAAACCACCTGCAAACCACCCCAGTGCATTCTGGAGGTCACAATGTGATGCAGCCAACAGAACTACATCATCTGCAAAGAGCAGATATGCAATTCTGAGGTCCTCAAATAGTCTTTAGTTTTGTCAAATTAAGAGTCCTCCACTAATGTGCTTATTTTAAATATTGAGGGGGCTCATGTCCCTTGCGTCTCCCCCTGAAATCTACATACTGATGCAGTTTGTAAGTGAAACATTGATCTGTATCTATCCACTTTTCCAACATGTTTTTTTCCATATTTTTTCAGCTGTGACCACTAATGCAATAATAAAACATACAAATACAAATAATACTACATACAAATAATAACAATAATAATAATCTTTATTTACAGAGCACTTTTCAAGTCATTAAAAAACACATTTTGCTGTATAAAAACCAATACAGTGTAGGAAAAGGTGAGCAGAGGGAAAGAAAAACTTTTTAAAAACTTTTATTTATTTATTCTTAGAGGAAATAAAAACAGTCTGAGGAAATGACTCCATTTCCATTGTTGCACTGTGGGACAACAGTATCCATGAACACCACAAAAAATCTGAGTAAGAAAAGGAAAGTATGTTGGTACTCAACTTTGCCTTTTTTTCAATGTGAATGCACCAGAGACTAATGCCCTGTATAACCAGTATGTACTGTAACCAGGATGCAGGGCATGTTGGGACAGGTGTGGCTGTAATATAAGCTTCCCCCGCATCCCCCCGGTTGTCTTATTATGGGAAGCTGCAGCTGAGTGTTTTCTCAAAACTAAAGCTATCAACCAGGTTATTATGTATAGAAATACCTTTGTTATTCAAAACAAATATGATTGTGACGCAGTGCAGGTGAGTGCCACACCTTGCCAAACCACACTGAGTGACCATGACTGTACAGCAGCAGGCTCCGTCTCGTCCTCACTGTGTTGAAGATCATTCCTCACAGTGAACAGAGTCCTCTCACTTCAGTCTAATATGTTTTTTCTGGACTTCCCAGCTCTATTGCGGCAGGCAGCAGGAAAACCGTCTCATGGGAGCCGGTGAAAGGAACTCATGAAAACTTAATGCAATGTGTCCTCATGAATTTTTAAGAGCGCTCTCTTCCTATTGTGCCACTAATGTGCGGGATAGTAATATAAACAGGAGTGCTGATGTACAGGGCTGAGTGCAAACCTACCAGCAAGGCAATGTGTCATCACCTGTCAGCCCCATGACAAACAACACACAGTGACACCTGAGCATGCGCGCACACACACACACACACACACACACAC